AATATAACTCGGGAAATGAGGACTTTCAAGTTCGTATTGTGGAAATGACGGCTGAGGAGTTTGAAACTTGTTGAGACTCAGGTTCTTAGCTCCATTGACGTGTTGGTGCCAATTTCTTTTCCTTCTTTTTTCCTTGGCTCCTTAACATAAATGCATTTCTTCATTATTTCTCTGTTTAAACTAGACACTTCTTATTATTGTTTTGTTTGATGGCTGTTGGACATTTTCTTTAGTTTTAACACCAATGTTCTATTCTGGACTGCCTTGACTTCTTTCCTACCCACTAGCTTGCAATAGTATTTTGAATTTCATATGTCATTTACATTTTCAAATGTGAAGAGTTAAAAGCTATAGTTGGAATAAACATTCACCAAATTTAGTGTAACACTATTTATTTACACAAAGTATAAGAATTTTCAATAATTCCCTTTTGCCATTCTTTCCACTTTACAAAAATTATTTCTTCCATCTATGCTCCTCTTTAATATTTTATTACTAATAGATTCTAATTGATTTATAATTATTTTAATGAAATAGTTAGTTTTATTTAACATTTATTTTTAAATTCTAATCAATTAATAAGGAATAATTATTTCAATAGTAAATTAAGATTGTTCAATAAAAAGTCAAAAGTTACAAATTTGATAAATAATAAATTAGCACTAGAATAACATAAATATATTAAAAACATAAATTGAAGTACAATACAACATTTAACTAAAACAACATTTAACTACAACATGTAGATACACACTTTACACTTCGAGATGCATTAATTGATCATATATGAGATGAATATACTAATTTCGATAAATAAGTGGCAAAACGAGTTGTCATTCTCGTATATGTAATTTTTCTTGTGCGTTCAATGTAGTTTTTGTAATTTGCAATATTATATTTAATTTATTTTCAATTTATTAATAAATGCAATATTTTAGTTCATTAAATATAATTTCTAATTTTACAATTTTCACAATAATATAATTTGTAATTAAATAATTCAAAATAAAATCTGGTGTAAAATTTAGTGTAAAATCATCTCCAATAGTCCGCTTACACCAAATTTGGTGTAGACAATTGGAGATGGTCAATCCTAAGTTCTTCCAAAATCAATGAAATTGTATAGTGTTGATCTCTTTTTTTGTACGAGTGACGTGCCTATAGATCACGGATCCTCTTGCGTCTACATAAGTCTTTTGTCTTGTACAAATAAATCTAGTCTAACGTGTTATGAAGAAGAAATCAAAAGAATATTTGAAGAATCGACATCACCCAATAAAGCTTTAATTGAATCTTCACGTCTTGGAATCGATCTTCGTATTTTTGCCTATTTCTATACTCCCCAAAATCTCTTAAAATATGTAATAATACGAGATAACAAGTTCTGGAAGGCCCTAAGTCTTTAAAAGACGTTCCCAAATTTGTTTTCATAGGAGTTGGAATCATATAAGGAAACTAATTTTTTTTCCCCAAAAAATGTACTATGCGATTGCATAATACACTCCCATGTAACGATGTCAAAAAAGATCTGCGGCTTTGGCTCGGGCTTGGCCCGGAAAAAGCCCGAGTTGGACCAGCTCGTGGCTTGGTGGCATCGAGTCGAGGCTAAGGCCGAGCCCCGCTTTGGGGCGACGGCTCGAGCTCGGGCTCGTCACGGGCCGAGCCAAGCTATTATTATTATTATTATTATTATTATTATTATTATTTAAGTTTAGATGTATTTTTTATATATTAATATTTAGTTATTATTTATAATACGTATAAATTTCAAAAAATTTAAATACGTTATAAAAAATTATAAATTTATAACAAATTTAAAAAAACTCAGCCGAGCCTCATTTTTCCCAGCTCGGCTTGGGCCCAAAAAAACTCGAACCTTTTTTGTTCAAGTCGAGCCTGAACTTAGAGTTTCGGCTCGTGGCTGAACTTGACTCGGCTTGTTGACATGGTTACTCACATGTGACCACATAAAACAATGAAATTCACTCCTTCAATTCCCTAAATCTAACCATGCGGCCGCATGATTTTAACTTAAAATCTACAAATTCCGTTTTAGTCCCTAAACTCTGTTTCTCCTTTCTCGATCTCCTTTCTCACTTTTTCTTCTTCTTCCAAAACTTCATTCATTTGCTCAATTGGTTTTTGATTCTTTTACATCTTCCTTTTTTCTTGTAAGTCATCTTTCGAATATTTGCACTTTGGTCCTTGAACTTTGATTCTCTTCTATTTTAGTTATTTTTCGCTTCTTTTTCCTAAATTCAACCGTGTTCATCAATGTTATCCTAAAAAACGCAATTTATATAGAATTAAGTCCTATTTCGATATATTTACAACAATTGTCCATGTTTTGTACCCCAAATAAATGTATATAGCACTCTTATCATGGACCAAGTATTTTTACACTTTTGTATTATAGTAATACAAGTCTCTGTCCATTAAATATACAAATGGTTTTTATTGTAATTTTGTAGTCAACTGCAATTCTGCAAATAGCTATTTATCCATGTTTGAGCCCCATTAAACTAAATTTTATTACATTAATTTTTTCTCCCTCTTCATTTCAACCATACATTCATAAAATAAAATACCTGTTTGGCCCCCATTTTTTGGAGTTGAAAATTTGTAGAATAGTGATTAATAGAAAAATATGTGGTGGAAAAGTTTTAGATTTGTGTGTAATATTATTTTATTTGAGAATATGTGGTTGAGATGAAGAGAGAAAAAAAATTAATGTAATGGAATGAGAAAAAATGGGGCTCAAACGGGGGCTTTATTCATTGTGG